TCCAGCTAGGAGTGCCTCGTACTCTGCCTCGTTGTTGGTGGCCTTAAACCCGAAGTGGAGGGAACGTTCAAACGAGCGTCCGTCGGGGGCGAGGAGAACCAGTCCCGCGCCGGCACCCCTTGAATTGGCCGAGCCGTCCACATGCAGGGTCCAAGCTTCGGGGGTTTGCTCGAGGTCCCTGTCCTCCATCTGGGTTAACTCCGCGATGAAGTCGGCCACCGCCTGAGCCTTGATGGCGGTCCTGGGCACGTATCTTATGTCATGTTCGCCCAGCTCCACCGCCCATTTGAGGAGCCGTCCTGAAACATCAAATTTTGTTAAGACCTGCCGAAGGGGTTGGTCGGTGATGACCTCCACCGTGTGCGCCTGGAAGTAGGGGTGCAACTTTCGAGCCGAGAGCACCAAAGCGAGCGCGAGTTTTTCGATCGGCGGGTAACGCTCCTCGGGTCCACCCAGGACATGGCTAACGTAGTAGATCGGGAGTTGTTGGTCAGAGCTTTCCTTGATCAGGACAGAGCTGACCGCGTGTGGGGAGGCCGCCAAGTAGAGACCCAGCTTCTCTCCAGGAGAAACAGAGGCGAGCCGGGGGAGGTTCGCCAGGCGCTGCTTTACTTGCTTGAAGGCTTCTTCGCACTCCGTTGTCCACCGGAATTTTTTTGGGTCCTTGAGCGCCCTGAAGAAGGGGAGGCAGTGATCCCCCAACCGGGCAAGGAAACGGGATATGGCGACAATCCTTCCGTTCAGTCGCTGCAGGTCTTTGATCGTCCGGGGTGACTGCATGTTAATGATCGCTTGGACTTTCTCTGGGTTGGCGTCAATTCCCCTTTCATGTATAATGAACCCGAGGAATTTCCCAGAGGTGACACCGAAGGCGCATTTTGTGGGGTTGAGCCGCATGCCGAACTTGCGTAGCGTGCTGAACGCCTCGGTCAGGTCGGCAATATGTGCTTCGGTCTTTTGGCTTTTCACGATCATGTCATCTACGTATACTTCCATGTTCCTTCCGATCTGATGGGCGAACATTTTGTTCACCATCCTTTGGTACGTGGCCCCGGCGTTTTTCAACCCGAACGGCATGACCTTATAGAAGTACACCCCCTGGTCGGTTAGGAAGGCCGTGTGTTCGCTGTCCTCGGGTGCCATCCTGATCTGGTTGTACCCTGAATAGGCGTCCATGAAAGAGAGGCGCGCGTGTCCAGCCGTTGCATCGACCAATTGGTCAATTCTCGGGAGGGGGTAGCAATCTTTCGGGCACGCATTGTTGAGACTGGTGTAGTCAACGCACATCCTCCAGCTTCCATTGTGTTTTTTCACAAGGACTACATTGGACAGCCACTGAGGATACTTGGCTTCCTCTATGAAGCCTGCTGCTAAGAGACGGGTCACCTCTTCTCGTATAGCCTGCTGCCGATCAGGGGCCTGCCGTTTGGGTCTTTGCTTCACCGGGCGAGCGTCAGGTGGGATGTTAAGGTGGTGCTGTGCCACCCCTGGGTCGACGCCCGTCATATCAGACGGGGACCAGGCGAAGATGTCAGCGTTTTCCCATAGGAGTCCGACGAGCCGTTCTTGTTCCTGTTCGGGTAGCTCCGAACCCACCTTGACCGTTTGGTCGGGTCGGGCTTCTTGTAATGGTACATCAATGGTGGGCCCCTTCGGCTCGGGATGAGGGGCCGGTCTTTTTGTCTCCCGTGGGTCCTCCAGCGGTGGCTCGACCCTGGCTCTCTTGTGTAGTGAAACGACGGTTAGGTAGCACCGCTTGGACTCTCGGGGGCTTCCGCTGACTTCTCCAACCCCAGCGTGAGTCGGGAACTTAATGATTTGATAGTAGGTCGAGACAACGACTCTGATTTTATTGAGGGTCGGCCGTCCCAGTATGGCATTGTAGGCCGTAGGAAGGTCGACCACCAAAAAGGTGGTTATCACCGTTTTTGACCTTGGCGGGACGCCCAGGGTTAAAGGCAAAGTGATGGCCCCCAAAGGTGATATTGAATCTCCCGTGAACCCGGTGAGCGCTGAGCCGATTGGGCGTAAGCTTTCCTTGGCTAAGCCAAGCTTCTGGAAAGCGTCAAAGTAAAGTATATCGGCCGAGCTTCCCGTGTCGACCATGATCCTTCTCACCTGCGCGTTTGCTATCCTGGCCGATATTACCAGGGCGTCGTCGTGGTCAGGTCGCTCGGCAGCTCCGATCGGGAAGGTAATCTCGGGCTCGGGCTCGTGTCCCGAGGCTTCGTCGGGAGCGGCCCGGGCATACGCCTTTCTGCCCGACGCGGAGCCCCCCCCTGCTGCGGGGCCCCCGGCTATCACGTCGATGTGTCGTTCGACGGGGCCTTCCGGGTGAGGTGACGGCTCCTTGACCGGTGGAAGGTAGTGGTTGAGATGCCCTCGGCGGATGAGCTCCTCGATCTACCTTTTTAACTCTCGGCGCTGCTCAGTGTCGTGCCCATGCTGCCGATGGAAACGACAGTATTTTGAGTGGTCCGCGAGCTCTCGCGGGCTCCTCATCGGGTGGGGTTCCTTGAGTAATCCCTTCCCCTTCTCATGGAGAAGTATTTTCATCTGCGAAGAACTCAAGACGGGGAGAGGAGACCTGGGGTCGGATCTATCCAACCTGCGACGGGAGGCGGAGGGCTGCTGCTGTCGGGGCGGCTCCGTCTTGACTTTTTTGTGTTCTTCCCGCTTCCCGGCCATCCATGTCTCCGCGGCGATGAATTGGCCAGCACACTGAATCATTTCGGGAACCGCGGCAGGGGGTCGCTCCACGAGAGACCAGAAGAACCGGGAAGGCCGCAGGCCTGTCATGAACGCCTGCATCAGTAGAGAGGGGTGAGCGTCCGATAGTCCGCGAATTTGAGTCGTAAAGTGGTTCACAAAATGGGAGAGGGGCTCGTCCTCCCTCTGGTTGAGCCCGAGGAGTAATGCTACGGTTGGTTTCGGTCGAGCGTAAGCCAGGAAACTGAGCTCGAAGTCCCTGGCGAGTTGGTCGAAGGAGGCGATGGTCCCAGCCTTCAGTCCGCTGTACCACGCGCGGGCCGGACCCCGTAGGGTTGTCGGGAACGCCCTGCACATCAAAGCATCGGAGGTCCCGTATAGCGCCATTTGGGCGCGAAATGTGGCCACGTGGTCCGCTGGGTCAGCGGCGCCGTCATATGCGTCCAGCGAGGGCAGGCGGAAGTGTGACGGGATCGCCTGATCTTGGATCTCGGGGGTGAACGGGGATCCTTGCTGTCTGTCCACTCCGTGATCTCCCTTGGACTTACGGACCTCCTATTGTACTTCGTCAAGCCTTTGACTGACGAGGCGCAGTTGGGCTCGTAGGGCATTTGTAGAATCGGCGGACGGAGCCTCGCGCTCGGGGCGGCTCGCCGTATCTTCCGTCTCCCGGCTCGCGGGCCGAGCCATCAGGATCTGGGGTGAGCCAGGGGGCCCGGAGAGGGGGATGTGAGCTCGGACGAGGGTTTCCTGTTGTTGTGAAGGGTGAGCCACGCGCGGAGGGGTTCGCTGTGAGATAATCGGGATGATGGTCTGCACCATGCTCGTCAGGGCTCGGACTTGGTGAGTGAGGTCGTGAAAGGCCTCTGGAGATACTGGCGACGGGTCGTTGGGGGCGCCGTCGGGAGGTGACAAACCTGGGTCATTGAACAATCACCAGTAACGTTCTGATGCCGCTGCGGGGCGTTCGTCGCGGGCTTCATCGTGCGGAGGGTGTTCCCCCGGGGTGGGAAGCCCAACGGCTGGGGGCTCGCCAAAGTGGATTCGCTGATCGTTTGACATTCTGACACGGACTTAGCTGGTTTTGCCTAAGTCGTGCGGCACCCTTGCGTGTCCGTCCGCAAAGGTCAGCCTCCCCGAAGACTCCCATTGTCCCTTAGGACCAACAAAAGAGAGAACAGGTAAGAGAGAACGCCTTAATCGGGATCCACAAGCAAACATCTCCGAAAAACACTTCATAGACAATGCAAATTACAAACAGACTTTACAAGCTCTGAACAGTGGCACAACAAAGGGTAAAATGGTCCATTACAGACCAAAAAGCTCTCGCACGTGTCCACATGACACAACCTTTATTTACAAGCCTAAAGAGGCCACCAACCCAACTAAAATGGGACTATTAAGCCTTCGGTCGCCCCTTTACATTCTGTACAGGGCATGAACATGCCAAAAGACACGGACACACATAAGCATTTCATCCAACATCTTGTTGAGAAGTTTGTCCGTGACATTCTCCCCCACTTATCCCTTCGACGTCCTCGTCGAAGCCTTTGTGAACACTGCAACTCTTCGCCTTTGCTGAGTCTTCAATCTTCTGCTCCAGCTGCAATGCGCCTCCTGGCTCCCAGCTGCTCTCCGCTGCTGTTTTTGAGTAGTCGAACCTTTGCCATGCTGCTTCAACTCGCCAATGACTCTGACACTGGTGTGGGGTTGGCTGAGTTGCGTTGATCCTCGTTGATTCCTGCGGATCCACCAAATGAAGGAAAAGACCATCCTTACTACGCTAGTCTCTCAAAATTTCCACATGCTGCCTAAACTGGGTGGATGCTTGTT